CCAAAATTCAAATTTTTTCTCAATATGAGAGGTTTCTATTATATCGTTTTTCCTTCGCCTGTAAACTTATGAAATATGATGTTACATTGATTTGTATTTTAGCTGACGATATTAGTAAAACGCTGCAAAAAACTTCAGTTGAAGAAATGTTTAYATTTGCTTTCTACAACATGATAATGTTAAAAATTATGCGTTACGCGCATATATTATATTATAAAAAATTTACGCCTATTATCTAGTTTAGTTACTTGATCAGACCACTTTCGCAAAAAAAAATTAAATAAATAAATATATTTACTTGTAATATTTATACACCTGTGTCTCTTCTTAGTACTTATACATTTATTTCCATCCTGTTAGCGCGTGCCACTTTAAAAAAAAAAACTTTTTTTACCGTTACAATTAAGAATATAACTATTAATTCCAATTTATGAGCACTTCTTAACAATATATATATGTCTCACTTCTTTTCTCATGCTAAGTAGGCCAGCATTGAACCGCCCGCTTCATGCAAAGCGCTAACAGCTATCTATATATACACTTATGCGCTGCACTGCTTCAATTAGGTTAACGCTCAAAGCCATTACATACTATTTTTCTATTTGCAACTCGCATTTACATTACTTTCTGCGACTTCGAATGCATTTGGAACACAACTTTCGCAATCAATACTATTTGGCGCTAAGTTTGCAGAACTTTCTTTCAGACCAAACAACAACTTTTATTTCTCCATTTACTTGCTTACTACTATTTATTTAAGTTACTTTTAACTTTATAATAAATAAAGACATTTGCAATTACTTGTTTGTTTGTATGTATGTGTATRTGTATTCACGAAGTTCCATATGTATTTGTGCTTATTCTAGGTATCTTTATTTTTCTTCTTCTTATTTTAGAACTAATTCTTTTTCACGTTATTTCTCTTCTTTTTCTTCTATTGAATTGTCCGTTTCTTATTTCTCGTGCAATATAATACTCGTATGTATATGTATGTATGTATTTGTGATTTGTTCTTCATTTGTTTTGGTACAACTTTGACGTTGGCGTTGCCTTGTGCTATTTAATCTTTATCAATGCAACTGTTACGTTACCACTACGTGCACACACGCAACACACACACGTGTACATACATACAAATGGGTATATTTCGTATATCTCTATTGAAAACCAATAACTTTTTCAAACTTATTTATATGTATTTGCATTTTGTTTTGTTTATTTTCGCTACTACAAATTTCTTTTTCAACTTTTTTCTGTCATTGCTGTCTGTACAACCACAACAACAACAACAACAACAACAAATTAATACCAAAAACCACAATAATCATTAAAACTGTGCCTCACCAACACCACTGCAAATAATACCAACGCTGACGGAATCGAAAAAAAATGTGAAAATCGAAAACATCAACAACCAATCAATCAACCGTTACCGAACCSAATTGAAATAACACAACATTACATATGTACATACACATTTACAAACAAATACTATATACAACTACAAAACCAACTGTATGTACAACACACATACACACATGCATACACACACATATATACGTATGCCTGTGCCGACTGCTGGCTCTGCCACTTGCCGTGTATGTGTTTGCATCATTGTTGTGTATGGTTGTATGTGTGTATTTATGAATATATATATATATATGCGTGCTTATCACTGTGAAATCAATACTCATACAAAATAAAATATATGCTGACAAAAACTTACAATTCAATTACGTACCCACAAAACACAACTTTGCTAACAAAATCACACATGCGCACACACATACACATCCAAAAAAAAAAAACCAATGAACATCGTTGCCAAAATGATGCAAACAAATTAAACCAAAAACAAAATGAAACCAACAACACGCACAAATACCGTGCAACACAAAACATTGAACAACAACAATCAAAACAAAAAAAAAAAATACACAACAACCACAAACAATGGACAACATGTATTTTTCGTATGGCTGTAACGAATGTGTCACGCACTGTTGTTGTACTGTTGTGTTTAGAGCAACCTTGGGCCAAGGCATACGTTCCGGTTGCGGCATAGTACCGATTACGGGACCGGGCGGCTTACAGCACTATGCCACAACTGATCGCCGCTCCAATGGCGCATTGCGGGTAAGTCCACCAGCTACTTAATTACTTAATTGCTTACATTTTCTAACTCAACTAACTAGCCTATTCATCTGACTTACAACCATACACTATATATTCATAAATATTATAATCATTCCTTAACACTTTTATTTTATTAAGAATTTATTTATTTGCTCTTAAATACACCGTTATACACTTGCCTTGAACTATTCATAATTGTGTAAGTGTTAAAATTTTATGTAAAAAAATTTAGATATTTTCGGTATACCCTTGTTTACGCTGATTTTCAGACTTTTTCTAAATCTATCTTAAATTTAGCGTGTTTTTCTGTGCTGCTTGTGTCGTCTTTAACGTTTTGAAAGCATTAATACAAACAAAATTTAATAAAAAACAAGCTTCAAAATAATAATAAAATACTAAACAAATTTTAAGTTAATAAAAAATTAATTTGAGCATTTTCTGTAATTAAAAATAAACATTTTAAAGCTGATCATATAATCAAAATAGTAATTAAAGTAAAATAAAAAAAACCATAAAAAAATAATTCAATTCAAAAATATATATTTACGTAATTGCTATACTTATAACTAAATAAATTTCTAAATGCTAGTCGTTTAAAAACTATAAGAAAATATTTAAAACGCATAAAAAATAACAACAAACAATAAAATGTAATAAAAAGTGTCTCCAACCACAATATTTTAATAAACAAGTCTTCAAAAGTTAAAATTGTCATAATAATAGTTCGAAACATTTTATGCTCTTGCAAGAGTCAACGCCAGGGAAATAATTGCAGGTGCAAAACGTCAACCAAATGATCGCAATCTAAGCAATTTTATATRTTCACATACTACATGTAACTCATACAATGRCAGACACTTTCGACATAAGGTTTGTTAGAAAAACGCAAATCATTACAAATATGAATTATAATGGAGTTGAGGTAGTATTAAGGTGCAGTACAATATGGAGTAAAGGCAGCCGGATGTCCCGTTATGAGTTRTATAGTATGGGGATTGTGTCAAGTTTTTAAGTAATTCATCTTTTTTAAGCACAAAGAAATAGCGTAATGACTAAAACATGCTCTCTGATATTCGTTGAGATAACTCAAATATATAGGGGCTCAGGGAAGTATGGACACGATTCAAACAGAAATACTATTGTTGGGCAAAGTTTCCATCTGAATTTTAATTATATATCTCAGACATCGATCGATATTTTCAAATAAAAGTCAACTACTTGTATAGGTACCTGGTTTAAATATTTGGTAGACAGGGACGAGATCAATTTTTGTTGTATTTAAAAAAWTTTTTGCAATAAGGTGGCATTATTCGTGCAAAGTTTAATCCCGCTATAATAATAGCTTCTTTATTTGCGTATTGGAAACTGAACGAATCAAGTGGCATATAATATTGTGATATATGTGAAGTAGGCGTGGTTATTGTCCGATTTCATAACGTGATATAGGAATATTGAAGAAATGGCCCGAGATGGGGGATCTCATCAAATAGTAGCAAGTGCCACACCCATCGTTCAATTTTCACATTGGCTCCCATAAATCTTTCTCATCATGTCACGTGTCATCATGTCACGGTTTTAGTCGTTTTGAACAGTACTGTTATATGGGGAGGGAACGGTGTTTTCATACGATGTCTTTCAATTTCTCACTATCGATAGGAATTCTTATAGTACTGGCCCTGGGCGAATTTCGTTGTTGTAGTTTTAGCAGTTTAGAAGATAGATATGTACATTAAACTTTCTAAAGAGCGGGCACACGCCCACCTTTTAAAAAAAATTTTGCCCACAAGTGCCTTTTGCTGTTACCAAATTCTCTCTGCCAAATTCAGTTATATAGTATATCTTAATTTAGTGCTTAGTTATAGCCTTTTATGTGTTTTCGATTAATGGCGATTTGTGGTCGTTTCAGTTTTCGAACTTTTTTTTTGTASTAAGAAACCCATGTAACAAGTTTCATCGAGATATCTTACTTTTTACTCAAGTCACAGCTTGCGCGGACGGACGGGCGGACGAACAACCAGACTGTCAACCGGATTTCAACTTTTATCGTCACCCTGATTCTTTATATAATATACATATATATATATATGTAACTCTATGTCTATATCGATTAGTTTTAGGTGATACGTACCACTGTTAGGTGAACAAAGCTATAATGCTCTGTAGCAACTGGTKGCAAGTGTATAAAAATAAGAAATAAATTCAATTTAATTATAATTTTTTAAAGAGTAATGAAATCATAAATACGAAACAGTTATTTAAAAATATTTTTCGAAAAGTAAACAAAGTAACAATTACTAGTATTTGTTATAATTTTTTTTATAAGACATTTAAATTAAAAAAAACACACACAATTTGAAAGGTGATTCAGCAAAATTAAATTAATGAAACTTTTAAAAAATAATAATAATTTAAAATATTACTGAGAAAATTTAATTTTAATGGAAAAAGTAAATTTCAGTTGCATCATTCATAAAAAAAAGATTCTTCAAAACTTGACTTTGGCAGGTCTGTTTTATGACAACTATTTGATCAATTTTTTCGGAAATTGTACCGTTGATACAGGCAATAACYTATGTCAAATTTGGTGAAGGTATCTCGTCGAATGAACAAGTTTTCCAAACAAGCACTTGATTCCGATCATTCAATTTATTTAATTCTTTATTTCTTGGTAAATTATCTGAATATAGTATATCTCGTCACATACAAAACTTTTCCATACAACCACGTAAATTATCTGAATATAGTATATCTCGTCGCATACAAAACTTTTCCATACAACCACGTACGTACCATTTGTATGCTGCATAAAGTAGTACAATATCGACGGTTCCGTGAAATGAACAGCTTCTGGGAAAAAATACTTGAACTAAATTTCATACCGATATTTCAAAAACTAAGTAATTATATTGCTTATATAGATATACGGGAGAAAAAAAGGGAAATGACAGCATTTAATCAGCTCGCCGCCACGCTTATCATTAATATTTGTTTTTTTTATAGGGGTTCCGACGTATCCCGTTAAGTATTACAAACTTCGTGGCAAAATTAATAAATAAAAATAATAAAAAATAAAAAATAAAAATAATAAAAAATAAAAATAAAAAATAACTGATATAAATATTTATAAAAACCTAAATTAAATAAATTAAATTGAATAAATACATATTATTATAAAAATATGAAACGTTACCGAACCACTTACACACTAAATGCCACACAAATTATGTTACGAACTCAGTCGCAGACATTTCGTTCAATTGTGACTATCTCAAATTAAATAACCATAAAAACGACATAAATGCATAAATTCTTCCTACTCGAATATTCTACTCGCTACTGCAGCAGCAACATACGAGTATACTCATACTCGATCGCCTCAATACATTGCCTACAAAATATATTCTAATTTTCTTTAATTTTTCTTTAAATACTCTTTAAATGCTCTGAATATTTTTAGCGTATAATTCAATGTGTTTACTCTCAGCATTTACCACCACTCTATTTGTACGTCTACATGCTTARCCTCTCTGGCTTATGTTTACTTATGGAAATTGATTTGTTAACTAGACGCATTATTTGTTGTCATTCGGATGTTGCATGTTGTAGGTTGAGAAAAAAATGCTGGAAAAGTAGTAGTGATCTAAATATACACAAACAACAAACATACACATAGACATCTATCTAAATAAAACTCGTCCCTTTAACTGTAATCGAACAAGAGTACACGACCTCTTGGCGAGTAAAGTTTTGCTGKAATAGCCGTCGTGCAATATTCACCTGCCAACTTGCCAATCAATTCAAATCAAGATTGATTRCACTTTGAAAAGTTGTGTCCTTAAGCCGGCTAATAACAGCTAAACAAAACTTGAARAATGTCGTTATATTGTATTATTTTCATTTTATTTTGTGTCAAACACTTAAATTAAAGGTGGGTTCCTATTAGGTACGAAGAATAAATTATTAAAAAGGTAACATGGGTGATCYATTTCGAAGTTCCGTACTTTTTTGAAGAAAAAAACATAGAAATTTCCAATTTAATGGCATATACTTTTCGAAAATTATCTCTTTCAAATGTTGGCTGGTTCAACATTGGATATTTTCAGAACTTTTCAAGAGTCCCTAGAGCAAAGCGATGTCGCTTGSGAAGGTTGAGCGGATTTGGTTSTTGCTCAGGCTRTATTTACTACGGTTTYAATTTAAGATCTCGATGTAAATATACCAAGTATTCCCATACATCAGTTCAAGTTGCTGTGAACGGCCCTGAATCGACTCTCTAGGGTCTTCGTGTACACTCTCGGCCACGCCTACTGGTCTATTCGGTCGAATATTATTCAATAATGAATGCTGRGTCTCAAGATGAGTGATGATGTTGCGAACAGTACTCTCAAGCATAATTTGTCAAAAAACGGCTTTTGCATACTCGACTTTCTTCTGAAAAAATAATTTTATAATGGGTGAACTATTCGACACTTTAGCACAAAGTTTTGTATTTTTCACATATTTAGAAACTTCAATCACTGAATGCAGATTTATTCTGCTTTTTTTCTGAAATAATATTAATAATATTTAAAGGTCATCCATAACTTAATATGCACTTAAAAATATAAAATTTAGTAAAAACTGCTCAGATAGTCGAATTTATTGGACCTCTATGTTATTAAGTCTTAGTTTTTATTCGAATTGAAACAAGTCTCATATATCAAACAGTAGAGTCACTAGTCAAGCCATTATAAAAAGAGAGCATAATGCTTAGATTCACAAAATATTGCTTTTAAAAACAGCTAATTCTTTTTTAAATTTTTGAAATCCAACTTTTTAAGAAATTGTCACTTTTCTTAAATATATTTTAAGATTTTAAAGCTAAATAATTTTTCCGTGTTTTTAAAATAGCGAAATTAATAAAAAATAGATTTTTTGCTTATTAAATAATTAAATAGATGATACATAAATGCACTCTAAAATAAATATTAGATATTAATATTATGCATTAATTTAAAAACGCACAAAAAGCAGCATATTTACTTATATAATGATGTGTAAATACAAAATTTTACGTATGTAAGTAGTACGCTTTTGGCTGCTGTGCGCACGTTATATCGATACATTTAAAAATCAAATAAAAGCATAAATACAATAATGGATAATAATTGTAAAAAAGAGTGATTATAGCTGCTCGGGTGGATTAAAATTATATGGAATTATTAACACCACAAATACTCGTGCAATACAAATACATATAGGAGAATAGGTTAGTAAGCGCATGCCAAGAAAATTAAAAATAACAAAACGAAAAATTAAAAAAAACAAAAAAATAACAGTAGTTGCTAAAAAACTATGCGAGGGAAGATAATAATTATGAAACTAATAATTATAAAAAATTATTTATATTTAAGAAAAACAAAATAGAAGTAAAATGAGAGTACGAAGAAACAAGTAAGAAAAAAATTATAATTATAAGCAGCTGTATAATTAAAATAAATTAACGATAATAAAATAAAGCATAATGCGATATTGAGCTTTGTTTATTTGTAGTTAGCTTTAATAAAATTCTGCTAAGTAATTCAATAGGGTTCTTGAATGGTTCGAGTGTGTAGGTGGTACAGTAATGTAGTAAGGGGGCAATATATGTACGGAATATGTAGCAAAGTGATAGCATAGGTTGTGAGTCATAAAAGCAAAAGTACATATATATATTATTTTTACCTAAAAAACGTARATGCAAATTTCCCACTGAAACTTTTAGTATTATATAAAAAAAAGTACCCGAAAATTTTAAATAAAACGCAAAATTTGTAATTATTCATTTTCGATTGATTGAAAAAGGGTTCCATGGAGCGGCAATTTCAGTTTGGGGAACAAGAAAAAATCACATGGAGCCAAATYTGATGAATATGGTGGTTCATCGATGATATTTATTGCATTTTYGGCTTATATTCGGTCAAAAATATTCACCAAAATATCATTCGAGCGGACTCGGGAGAGATGGCGAGGTCTCTTTTCATCTTTTTAATATATGCCTGACGATTTTTTAGCACCATATCCTTCACTTTTTAACTTTTTCATTAGTTGAATATATCGAATGACGACCAGAACGATACATGTTTTCAACGATCTCTCGACTGAATCACGTAAGCCTTTTCCAACATTCCAAACGATTTAACACACGAAATTTGGTTAGAAATACAGAATTTGAGGCAAATGCCTTCTTTGATATATTTATCAAATGCAATAATCGCAACGCACTAYTGAGGTATGCCGACTCCAACAGCTGATGTACACAAASTGGAAGACAGATCGCGCTCATATTTGGCAGAATAATTAAGGACAGTTCTTCCAACTTGGCACAATACATTGCTATGAAATATCTAATTTGAACTAAYATTTCTGGGTAYTTTTTTTGTGAAAGTGTAAAAAGCTTTTTTTTATTCTTATTGTCATTTATTTTTTTATTTTAGTGTTATCGTATTTCATCGAAATTTCATAACTGACAAAACATCAAAACAAAAAAAGAAAAAACAATAATATAGTAAATAAAAAAATATCAACAAAAATTACATAMAAATTTTTTTGACCCACTGTTGGTGCGCGCAATCGTCCAATAACACTTCATTAGCTGCTGGAACACCAATTATAATTGGCTTAACATACACACAAATTTATATACAGCAAGTGTTCAGCTGGCTGCTACTGCATAAGCATATACATATGTATACATATATGCATGTTGTAAATATTACAACGAAATAACAACGCTATTAAATTAACAGTTAATTGTGGATGATTCCATGAAATCAAACGTTAAATGACAACAGAACGTACACAGTATAGTTACACGCATACGAATGGGTATTAAAAAAATGTGAAAAGCAAAAATATTTTAAATATTTGCATACATATGGGCAATGGTAGCCGCTGGCACAGCTGCAACATGCCTGTGTGTAGTGTGTACACACTGCTGCGCTTTAATGAGCGTAACATAAATAGGTCATTAATTAAAAGAGTTTAAATTGGTTAAAAATTGGTCAACCGCATAATGTCTTATCGCCTACATGGCGTATACGTAATTGTGCTGGCAAATTATTATTGACGAATGGCAGCTGAAGCCCTTATGCAAATAAAAGRGGGCGTCAGTGGCGATGCTTATTGGGTACGAAGAATGCAACTTAATAAACATATTTTTCAGAATAAAAAACCCGTTGAAATAAAGGAATTTTAATTGAGTATTAATATCAGCGGAGTAGTTCGAAAAAACTGTGACTTTATGGCAATTTCACTGAAAATGTRTCAATTTATCAGTATGGAATTCAATATTTGGCCAGTTTATTCGTTAATGTGAGTCTGAGTTTTGTCTGGCCAATAATTTGTATTAATTTTGTAGAGAGTCACTTTCTCGATTATTTAATAAAAACTTTAACTACGATTTTGGAGAAAACATTTACTAGGGTTAAAACCTGCTCMAGACCGAAAACAAATATTTTATAAATCACTTGCTACAAGCATTTCTCTACTTTCTCTTAATCTTTTATATCAATGCCTCAAATATTTTGATTCAAAAAAAAAACAATATATACATATGTATATACATATAATTGAAAGCCAATTAGTAGCATTAATATAAAAGCATTGCTCTCGTAATAAACAAAAAAAAAATATATAATTGAAAGGCAATTAGTCGCATGAATATAAAAGCATTGCTCTCGTAATCTCAAAAATTAACAAAAATGTTATTTTCACATTTCTTTAACAGCAGCAACAGCATTTAAATGTAAAAGAAATAATTCCAGAGCAATACGTCCAGATCGAAAATTTTCTGCTGTGCTTTTCGCACACATATATCAGCTATATTCATTTATTTTTTTAATTTTCTCTGCGTGCATAAATTAATGTGCCCGTAATTGGCTACGGTAGCGTTGAAATTATGCAAAAGCTTTGCCGTATATTTGATGAGTTTATAATTAATTGCTTTCACTCAATTATTATTCTCTGTTTTCTGTTTTTTCTATGTTTGTTTTTTTGTTCATATTCATTGTCTTTATTTTATTTACACAACGGTTAAAAAACATCTTATTTAAACACTTGTATGTATGTATGTATTCTCGCTTTTCTTCCCATTCTTCTATGCTCAGCAGATATCGGCATGGAAAGGATCACAGGTGAGTTGTGAAGTACTTTGATATTTGTTCTACAGGGACTTTGTAGCTTTTTGCTTTATCTTTTTGAAGTGATATCTGCCTGATTTCAACTATAATTTGTGCCTGAATTTTTATTTAAATTTATAGTTTTCTTTGAAAAAYTTTTTCTGGTGGCTTGAGAATTTTTCCAGAATTGAATTGATAATTTGTGTTTGTTTACAAATCTTTATCCAAGTCTACATAGTTTCTTTTAAGTTTCAACCGATCTGTCACAAAGGTTYATAAAAAAAGAAGTAACTATAATTCATAATATTTGAAAAAATATTATTTACAAAAATATGCCAAATTATTCAGATATAAACGCATGTTTGAGCAAATAAGCACTTTTCTAAAAAGAGATCAAAARGCTTCTGGTCCAGCGTTRTWTAGCGGGATCAACACCTATTGACTGGATACTGTTCAGAATAGATTCCGTAGAGTTTTTGTTGAACGCTCCCCWAATGTCCAGGAATGCTTCAGGAAAGTATTTCTTATACACTCCTTTAATATATTTCTCTTTTTTTTCTTTGAAACAAATCGTACAGAATTAAATCAACCACAGACTTTTTTATTTTGAAATGTTGTTCTGACCGAATTTTCTTTTTAAATTTGGTTTCCCAAAATACATATGTCAAACTTGTAAATTCCAAATTAAAAAAAAAAAAAATTTTAAAAAGTAAAAAAAAAAAATAATTTGTATGGCTTTGCTAGTCAAATATATTTTTATGCCAACCATATTCAAAATTACATCTGTTTTTATACAAATTTTTCAAAATAATAAAAGCATGCTCAATATCAGTTCAGTCACCAACAYACAAATTTTTCATTTCCTATGAATGTTAAAATTTCTTTTTTTTWTATTTTACTTTCATTGTAAACTACTTTCCTTAAAAATCTAACGAAAACCCGCAAACATATATTTAAAGTTTTCATCATCCACCTGTAAAAACCGCATTCATTTCCGCACTCTTAACAACTCAGTATGCATTTTCGCACTAAAATCCAATTTCTGTTTTCTTTGTTAACATTTAGCGGTTTTAAAGCAACTAAAAAGAAATATTTTATTTATAATAACGATATACTTTCGCTTCTCTCTTTTCCCACTACGCAAACGTGCACGCGCACATGCAGAGTTCTCTCTCTAAAGCCTTCCGTTTCAATACAAAATCATCACGCAGCGGAAGCTCCATTGGGGATCGTTCATCCTTCGGCAACTCCACCTCTCCCACACCATCGTATAGTAGCTCCGAAGGTGGTGGAGGAATTTACGCCACTATAGGCGGCCATCCACCACACTCCGCACCATTCTACTCCACCAGCACACATCACTTCCCGCCACCGACAACAGCGCCACCACCACCACCACCCTCAACATCAGCGCCCGGTCTTGGAGCACAAATAGGGGGCGGCGGTAACATCTTCAACTATGCACCGCCGGGACATCGTGTGAGTGCACCACCGGTGAGCAGTAGCAGCACAGCCGAATCAATGACAGATCCAAATACTTTGTACGAACAACATCGACGTGTGAAAAGCATCAGCGATATTGGCATGTCGGCCGGCATCGCTGGTAGTGCTGGTAGTGTGGGCGGCGCAGGTATGGGTGCAACGGCCGCAACGACGACGTGCATCACAAGTGGCACGACAGCATCGCTCAAAAGCGCCGGCAGCATGGGTAGTAGTAGTGGTGGCGGTTTGGGCAGTCGTAGCGGCAGCGTCGGTGGTGGTGGCAGCGGTAGCGCTGGCGGTTGTGCTTCTGGCTCTTCCGGCTCACCTGTATGAGAATCAGTTATCATGTAAGGCGCGTCGAATGCGCACTTACATACCGACATGCATGCATGCAAACATACATATATACTAAGTAACTAGCTAAATAAAAGAGAGATACAAAATTGCAGTGGGACAAAAGCGCCGACTTTATGATAAAAAGTTGGTATTTGTGGTACATATTTGTGAAATATCGAAAAGTATAGAAGCATTGTTAAATGCTGCAGCTTTTAATTTACGTAAGTATGCACTAGTAATACGTAGATCAGTGGCATAACGTAAGCTCATCAATGTGGGCCACACAAACACAAATACAATCACATAAAAGTTTAGCTATAATATACATAAAAATTTTTGTGACATTGGAAACCCATTAAAAATATATCAAATAAAAAATATCAATCCTTTTGATTTATATTGAAAATAATTTTCTCTTAACGGACTAATATATTATCCAACTGGAAAATGTTTCTATTGAAAACAAACTAAAGGAGCGACAAACAGATTTAATGCAATGCTTTAAATTTATATCAGATAACTTTTACTTTAACAAATTTCCTGGATCAGTTAGTGGGTCACATATAAGACCAATCCCCTGATAAGATCAAGATCAAGGCAAAGTTGTGCAATCGCACATGCCGAATATTATTTTCGAATATTTATCTTCGAACAAAATTTTAACATAATAAAAACACAAACATTTTCTCACTACTGAGACCTTTTTTCGATTATATACTAGGCCCAAACTGTCCATAACCTCACTTTAGTAATATAATGAGCCAAGTCTCCAATAGCAATCTAAATAATCCAAATCTTCATTTTGGTTTTCCTGGATCTAAATGCTTTATATTCTGTATTGCTAACACGGAGATTCACAGTGACTTCGGAAGCCACTTTTTACAGTAATACTTAGAAGCGAACATTTTCGATTTCGAAAAATGTTACCCTAAACCTGTGTTCGCATATAAAAGTGTTTCACTGTTTTACTGAGATTCACAGTGATTTTGAAAACCATTTTCTACAACAAAACTGAGATTCTAACATTTTCGATTTCGNAAAAGTGTTTCACTGTTTTACTGAGATTCACAGTGATTTTGAAAACCATTTTCTACAACAAAACTGAGATTCTAACATTTTCGATTTCGAAAAATTTTACTCTAAATTTCTATTCGCTAATCTAAAAGTTTTACTGTTAACACTAAGATTCACAGTGACTTCGAAAACCATTTTCTACAACATTACTTAGTTCCAAACATTGTAGATTTCGAAAAAATTTAGCCTAGACCTGTGTTCGCGCATATAAATGTTTTAACCTGTACTGTTAACACTGCGGTTCGTAAAGACTTCGAAAGCATTTTTTTGCATTTTACGGTCTTGCACTCTAACTTTTTTTATTCATTTGGTCCAAAATCCACTCACTGTAGCTGCAAAATTATTCCATTTAGGCATTTCATTTACCACCCCTTTTAGAAACCTTATTCTCTTAATTTCTAAACTCTACTCTATTCGAATAACTCTATGCAAATGCTGCACAATTCACTGATTCAAAGCGCTGCCAGCTGCAAACGCATTTGTTTATGAATTTCTATATTAATTATTTATTTTGTGGCTTTATTTGCCACAGACTGCATTCAATTGGAAAAATTAATTTCGAATTTTGTGTTGTGCATTAGCCAACTATGTTAAGGTTACATAAAATATTTTCCCTCAGCAAATACGCTTCTACATATGGTACTTACAATTACTTACATTACAAAACAATGCGTTATTGCTTACAATTCATTATGCAGTAATAATTATGAACATTTAGTCAAAGCCACAGCTTCATTATTGATACATTAACACATCTATATGCACACACACACACACACACACAGTGGTAAATGTGTATTGAAGTGATTATGGCTGCAGCGTTTGTAATTGCAATCATTTACACAAATGTAAACACGACCTGCTGGGAAATCGACCGATTTCTAGAAAACTAACACGTTTATGGCTTTGCTGCCTTTTAAAACAACTGCGTTCCATTTCTGTGGAAATGCCAGTGGGGAATCTGTGGTTTAAGTTATCTCTTTTAGGTAATTTGAAACCAGCTCTCAACCGCAAACTTATATTCGTAATGCATTTGCCTGGAGCATATTATATTTTAATACTTTTTGGCAATTAAGTGTAAATTATATGCAGTTGATTGACTTTTGTGGCATTACTTTCGCTCAATTAAGAGACTTGTAAATTCATATTAAATATTAAATAAGTATATGTGTTACTATGACAGTAGACAAGAAGCTTCTCCTGAGAGTGTTCAGATTCACAGTCAGTGAAACCTTGGTAGCTGAAAATTTACCCTCAGTAAATAATGACAAACCTTTGGTCATCTGAAAATCTTACAAAAACTTGTGAATCGATCTCCATATATTAAAAGAACAACTAAACACTGTCCCGTTTTCATTTACTAAAAAGTTTAGTTGAACTCGACTGCCAAGTTTATGTATACCGGAAAACTAATTCGGAAATATGATGCTAAAGATTTTGATTGATTCAGCTTATATTCTGTTCGACTCAATTTACAATCGTTGTGCACTGGATGCAGAAAAAAGCACAGCCGTTGTCTGTTCTATGTGAGCCGGACACGAATTTCACAATTTACATTGAGATGCCAGTGGCGCCATCTGTCGAAAATTGGTCGTACCGATTCAGAAACGTAGGATTCAGTGGCCTTAACTTTATAAGAGCATATCCAGGGAATCTAATACAAAGAAAATCCACATAAGTAGCTGAACAGCTGATCATTAATATTGTCGGCTTTGAAACAATGAGCTTCAAAATTTTTGAAATATTTTTGTTTGAAATTTCACATATGTATATGCTGGAAAAAGACAAGCAAGTTTCCAATGCCAGTAAAATTAACTTTTAGCTTGCTGATATGCTCACCATAGAGTCGACTTCATTCTCATCATGCTTCAATTCCGTTATGAAGTTTTCAAAATGCTTGAAAACAAAAAATTTCACAATCTCTACTTTTTTTTTACTTATTTTTGGTTATAGCTCAACGTTATATTATACATGTATAATAATATTCGCATAATTTATCTTAAAATGTCTTTCCCCTTAAAATTTTAAAGCTTGAGCAAAAACTACAGACCCACCTCATCCAAAGAATCAACCCACTGTGCGCATAAATTTGCCATAAATTTGAAAATAAAATAAATTGCCATGTTATAATTGTAAATACATGTATGTATGTACGTAGTAGACTAATGAAACTAATTAATTACAATATTTAAGCAATAAATTTAATAAATTTCCTATAATGAGCAAATAAGTTTTTTGTTAGAAAAAATGCGTAAAAACAAAATTTGAAAATAAAAATAAATAAATGCAGTTCCAAGCAAGTAAGGAAGGATTTAAGTTCGCGTGCAACCAAACACTTTATACTCCTGCAACTTGCAAACCAGAGGATCGAAATCCAAGCAAGTAGATATACAGTTGAACTTCCCTAACTCACCATAATACATAAAAAAACTTCCGAGTTATGAATAAAAATTTGTATGACATTAGACTTATACTTGTATTGTCAATTCAAGAGATCGAATGATATGTATGTGTACATACATATATATGTACAAATGATTCACACCTAAGATTTGTTAGAAAAAGAAAAATCATTGTACTATAGGTAAGTAGTATATGGAAGTTGGGTGTGGTATCGACCCAATTTTATTTATTTTTGCCAATTCTACGTATTACTAACCTGTCACATACTAAAAAAGTTTTGCCTGGTTTCCATAAAGTAGCTCATATCCAATCACCAATCATATGGAGTAAAGTCAGCCGAATGTTCGAAAATCCTGATTTTAGTTATGTGCGGGATATGTTAGGTTTTCGCCCACTTTTAGCTAGCAGAAAGATACACAATTATCGGTAAAACGCGCCCCTTCATTACGATAACTCACATATTGGCTGATATAGGCGGCAAAAAGTCACCCGCAAGTTCGAAAACCTTTATATTAGTATATAGGGGTTCAGGGAAGTATGGACCCAATTCAACCCATTTTTGTCACACAGACACACTATTATCCGGAAAGTATTTTCTCCGCATTTCAATAATATATCTCTCTCAATGACCGTTATTTTCCGTCAAAAGTCAACATGTTCGGTACTTAGGGTGTTGAAGTAGTGGCAATTCCAATCCAATAGTTTTGGTTGAATTTGCAAGTATAAAAACATATGGAGAATTTTTGGTCATAAGGTGCTCTACCCTAAAGACTTAAAACCGGTATATCGAGTCCCAAGTTAAGTAAATTCACCTAAAAGTGGGCGGTGACACACCCGTCGTCCAGGGTTCTATTGAGCCTTTTCATATCATGGCTGGTGTAATATTGTATGTCTCTGGCGTGTTTGGTTATTCATTCATCGTCCTTTTAGTAATTTTTAACAGTACCGTTATATGGGGAATGAGCGGGTCCGATTTCATTCATTTTCACACTGTCGGTAAAACTTCTTATAAGAATTTTCCTACGCGAATTTGGCTATGGTAGCTTCAGCTTAAAACTAGGAGATATTTACATTAAACCTCTTAGAGGTAGGCACCACGCCCACTTTTTCCAACTTTTTAGCCCTCAGGTGCCCTTTGCTATTGAAGTGCTTAGCTATGACACCTTATATCGGTAATAGCGGTTTGTGGACGTTCCAGTGGTCCGATTACGTCCATCGACGAACTCCGCCTTAATTTTTTATCAACTTGTGTTATCATCCTGACCATTTTTATATACATATATAACCGTTTATCTAACTCGATCAGTGTTAGGTGATTCGTACAACCTTCAGGTGAACAAAACTATTATACGCTGTAGCAACATGTTGCAAGAGTATAGAAAAATCACACATACATGCATACAAACACTAGTGGAAAACATACAACAGCGATTAGATGGAGCTGTGTGAGTTAGATTTACACATACATACATATATGTATGCGTATTTTTAGACGTAACGTATATGCATATATGTATGTACAGGCACGTGCTAATGTTATTATTAGAAACACAATTATAATGCGATTTAAATTGAAAGCCAATTAAGACCCACGATTCGATGAACATTTTGCGAAACTATTAAACAAATCGAGCACGACAACTTTACAAAAAAATATAAATAAAAGATAATAATAACCGTAAAAAATCGAAAAATATCAAACATATGTCGACAGCTAATTAATGCGATTAAGCATTAAAGATGGCAAATGAAAAATGGCAATGAGTACGCGTGTAATTAGCAGGCGACAAGCAGGCGACACTACTAACAGTAGTGGCTCATTAGCATAATTAAGTACGAATAACTAATGGCAATTGCAAGCATAAAAAAATATGGAGAACCGGATATAAATATAATACCAAAATTAAACAATTGAGAACCAACAAAAACTGCAATGCTCAATAATAATAAAAAAATAATAAAAAAGTTGTAACCAATTTGAATGATAGTGGACGAAAAACGAAACAAATAAAACACTGCACTTAAGCACACAAAACTATTAATTTACACACATACATACATACATGCGTGTTTGTAAGTAAATTGAGTGTTAATCAAATTTACACCACACAATTAAGAAGACTTTTTGTAGTTAAACGGAATTAAATTTGTTAGTGTTGTCAGGCAGACATAAATACTCGAAAACAACAGCATATAGTGCATACTCATATTTATCTATGTATGTAAGTATTTATATGAAAATAGTTAAGTAATTGTCATTTAATTGTATTCAATTAACTTACATTTTTTTACTTTAACTTTAAATTAATTTGTATTTATATAAAAGTATGAAAATTGTAATAAAATATTAAAATTAAACGAACTAAAGTAAAGATCAAAGAATTTAATGTGAAAAATAAAAATATACATATTTATGTATAAATGTGTGCATTGAAATGAGCTAAGCGAAAATTATTGAAGTCTAATGAATAAAAAATAAAGATATTGATGAAAAATGAACATCACCGTTATTTAAGTCACATAATCTTTCTTTAAACTACTCAAGCTACATTTTGATCTTATAAAGAACCGGGTACGTCTTTTAAATACATTAATGAACTTCTTTTTTTTACTGATAATGGGGAAATTAGTAAATTTCTGACGGAATTAACCTAAGTTTTTTGGGACCGAAGTTTGATAAATTTTTAGCATAAATAAGCTTTTCTAAAAATTTCTTCGAAACAGTTAGACCGACCGCCTTAAAATTTCCACACGATTAGCCGAGGCCAATATTTGCAAAAAGATAATCTTCAAGAAATAAATGCCAAAGACTGATTTTTCGAATGATAATACACATTCCCCACTCATTTTGAAGTTCATGTGTTTTTTCTCTAAAAAGTAAGGAACGCCGAAATTCACCACCATTTAAAAACGTGAAGGTGTCATCTCATTAGAAAATTTTGACCTGCCCTCTTATAATGACCTGTATAAATGTCCGGACCATACATTAATAACATTTTGTTGCTTTTGAATTTGAGATAATTTTAAACAAAACATTTTCTTCACCACTCAACCCAGTTTTTCGAAGGTCCGTCTAGACTTCGGCTACGGAATCAAGGGAATCCAATTATTATATAGCATTTCCTTAATGTATATCACCAGGAAGTTTTCGGGCAATCACAATTTCTGGTTCCATGTGAGTTCCAATAAAAAGCAGCCCTGCAAATGTCATCAATATTTTGCGAAGTATATGGTCCGTGTTGAGGTCTACAAATCAAGGGTTGATATTCTCTTGCCACTTGTGGATTTGTTCCAGTATGACGAGAATTGTGAAAATGTGATCTGAGCATGATCTTTTTTAGCGAAAACTTGCTTGTTGCTTCGTCAGCGAACGTTAAAAATGGGACTGCATTCGATTTAGTAGAAGTTTGGTGGAAAATTTTATTGAAAGCTGGTCAACGTGATACCTCTACAGTTTTTACATATGATACTTATTCGCAGGTGTAGCTTTTAACCACATTAAAGTACATTAAATTCTGCAAATGTAAATATTTTGTTTATTCAATAAAATCGATTTTTTGTCGTTTTTTGACCTGCAATGGATATAACCCCTTAACATACAACTCAAACACGTATTACATAAGAATTATCATTACGAAAAAGTGTTTATTTATTTAAAATTTAAAAAGTTACTATTGGTCTTACATGGGTTTACGGGTTCAAAAAATCGATTTTTTTTATGTTTTTTTATTAAATTCTACAACATCTCTGGAATATTGCCTTAAATTTTCAAATTGATCCGAGTAATAGTATCGGAGGTAAACCTTTGCGAACTTTTTCGCACGAGACTAAGAACGCTAAGTGCGCCATCTATAACGCGTTTTTCTCGAAATTGTGTTTTTGATGTCGGTTGACAAGATTTCCCGAGAACGATCAAAGTCAAAGTTCTAAGGTAAGGTTTTAACTAAAATACGTATTTTTTCTACTTTAGATGATCCTGTAAGGAGTTATCCGGCCAACGCGGGCGCATCTTTTTCCGTGGGGTCATAAGAAATGGTGTCACAATAGCCGAGTTTAAAAAAAATTTTTTTTTTTAGAATTTTAAGATTTCTTTGCTAATAGTGTATGTTTGTAATAATGAAAAATTCTAACGAGTTATTTAATGTTTTATACATATGAGCAAAAATTGTTGAAAAAATCTGTTTTTACCCATTAATGTGCCTTCAATTTTTTTTTGGTTTTTTCAAGCAAATTCTCTTTTTAGTTTTTTGTTTGCCTTCATTTTTGTTTTTGCTATTGGACAAGCCGTCAGCATACTTTTCTCTAATGGATTTCAATTTCTTCTACACTAGAAGAATTTAATTTATTAAATTAAAATTTATTTTCCAACCGGAGTTTAACCGATAATAAATTTAGGTAAAATGCCAACTACAATACTTTAAAACGTTTTCAAAGAGAGCTTAGTGGAAAAAAAGACACCGATTTGTTTGTAAGGCAGCAAGTTAAAGGAGTTGGTTGTTGTTTTTATTATACAGAGAGGTTTCAAATGAATATCTATTGCATTAACCGTAAAACTTAAGTATTCCTTTTTGAAACTTTAAAAGGAACAATAACACATTTGGCAAACTTCAGACAAATTTAACAAAAAATACTATTTTGGTATATTAAGTTAGAGTTAATTTACACCCCAATTGTCTCCGCTAATTGACCTCTATAGACGCAATATAACTTGTTTAAATATTTAGATTCAATATTTTTTTGTTCCATTTATTTTCAACACATATTCCATAGCACAAATCATTAACCACATTTAACAAGCATTTCATTATTTAAAATAATATCTTTGTATTCCTTAGCCGCATTTTTTACCACCACCGCCAGTGCTCTTCTTGCCATATCCACCGCCGATTTTCTTTGTACCGGCCACCAACGGTAATTGGCTGCAACTCCAACACAACAACAATAAAATTGGCCACAGGAAAACTGAGAAACGCATTTCGAATATGTTAATTGGAACTCCTTTCAATATTAGCAATATTTTTAATGATTTGGGTACACTCGTCAGTTACTTTATGCTGGCAAGTAATGCGTTTTCCATTGATGAGCTCCTTTTTATAGGCTTTCGGATAATTATTGCAATAATCATTTGTGTTGTAGGGAGGTGTTGGAATTTTTTGTACAATTGTTTAATCTGTCACGCCTATGCAGATTTACATTCGCGCTTTCAAAGATGAAATATTAATATTTTTGATAAGAGTAATTGGCTTTGAACAGGCACGCGAAGGAATTGACTAGATTACTACAATTTATTTTTGGGATTCACCCAAGGTTTTCCCATATTTTCACAGTATGATTCATAAAATTTGTATTTATAACCGTTCATTGATCATTTCGCTACGCTCAAACTAATATATTTCATTTGAATTTCAATTAGGTTATAATTTCAGCTAATTATGAATTAATTAATTTCCATATGTGCGGCGCCAGGGACAGTGATTTGAAGTGCGCACTGCTACTTTGCTGATCCAAGGTTTGATTATTCTCGCGAATAATATCTTAATAAAAGCTATCACGTTTGTAAATTGGCTTAAATGTAGACATACTTGTTATCTAAACACGTAAGAATAACTTATAAACTATTAAAAATTATTAAAAAAAACATATTAATTAGTTTGGAAAAAAAAATTATTTATTCAACAATTAAAGTATTAAATATTGGGTTAGTGTTTAATTGCAAATATGAAAACAAATAATTTGATACACCTTGTTGCCAATTTTATGTTTACCTTCAACTCAAACAAATATAATTTCAACATATTGCAATTTTTCTTCACCATAACATTGCACTACAATTTTACGTCGATCTTTCTGCAACGGTGTTGAACATTTCATGGGTTTGGGTTTATACTGCTCCTTACTATTCCAGTACTCTGCACTCGCTGCTGCCTCGGTGTCTCCTGATTCCTCCGGCAGCTAGCGTCGCACACCAGCGTCATTGGTGTCGGTAGTGGGTGGGCGACGTGTAGTGGTTGGAGGACGTCCACGTGGCTCAGGAAAGGGCTTGGCGTTGGCTAATGTACCCATGCTGCCGATCACAGCGAGCAAGCCGAAAACGAAGAACAACGATAACCACTTCATTGTTTTAGACTTCCGGAGTTTTTCTTTACGCACTGTATAGTTTCGCAACTTTTGTCTAACTAACAATGTCTTGAGACCAGCAGTAACCTTTTATACTTAATCTCCACTTAGCATTGTAAATGGCTCGAGCTATAGCTATTGTTATAACTATTTAGGCAGATGTCACAAGCATAAATTGCTGCTGATATGATCTTAGTGTCGTTAGCGAATATCTTTTGGGAGCTTGCTTTCATACTAACTACTAATCGGAATAAATGTCAGTTGCGTTTAGGCATCAAATTCAAAGACGAGCCGGTTTTGTTTATGTTCTAGAGATTGTTACAGACGATTAGCCGTTAATTGAGTTGTAAATCTTATAAGAAAATGGGCGGTAAATCAGTCGAGCATTTAAGTTTTTATGGCGGAGATTCGCCGATTGACGGTTTTGGGAGAAAAAGTTAATTGTATTGTAAATTATTGCGTAGAATATCTACATATATGTATGTACGTCAAACTATATATTTTTCGGTGTAGATCTCGCAAGCTTTCAATGCTTTTAGAACTTGATTTTAAAGTTTTCGAAATTTCAAATCTTTATTACAAGCCAAATAAGCTGATTAAAAATAACATAATTTGTTCAATATTATTTCTTCAAATAAACTGTGAAGCGTGGATATACTTGTAAAAATTGTTTTGACATTCCTTCAAGCTCAATCCTTCCAATGTCCAATTAGCACCACTATGACATCTAATGAAGATGATGATGCCCCAATACAACAGGATGTGATACAACAACTGGATGTGACACAACCACTGGATGTGATACGACCACTGGACGGGCGACCACTACTGGACGAGCCACCACTACTGGATGCACCAATTTCGGCTTGACGACCACAACAGGGTGCTCCACAAGCACGACATGATGACTAGGAGGATGTAAAATACCAGGTGCAGACTCCACGAAAAGTGGTAAATTAGATGTTATGTAAAGGATGATGGAAAAAATGCAGACTGCGAACTTAAGGAAGTACATTTTATTCGGTAGCAAATGTTAACTTAGTTGATGGTATAAAATGCAACTGAATTGTTTTGGAAATGCAATTGAATTTTATAGTTTGAAATAAAACTCGAAGTCTTTAGCAAACTCATACTTGATATTTGTATTTCTATTGGTTATTATGGCAATGACCGCAAAAATGCAGATAAATAATAGTTGCATGGTAAGAATGACGGCTAACCACATATGAAGTTGAAATTGCTTACCAATTTTTTCATGTATCAATTCGAAAATAATTATCAGAATATTCGGTTTTTGTATATAACATAATTATGTTTATTAAACATAATTGGATTATACATATGTACATACACATATTTTGAATATTTTACTAGTACAAATTGTATAATTTATTAGCTAGTGTGTAAAGTTAGAAACTATTTAAAGTTCTTAAATAGTATACAAAATCTTATAGAAATTATAGGTAATTTGTAAGCAACTACATTTATTGCAATTAGCAAACGTCAACACGCTTTTACAACTTCGCCTATCACCTGCACTTCTGCGCACTTCTTTAAGTTCTTGGAGAATTTCTTTTCAAATTTCTTTTGCTGCTTCTCTGTTAATTCTTCAGCACCGATTTGAGCGGCATATTTTTTCAAGACACGTTTTTTAAGTTTTTCCATGGCAATACCGTCATCACTCTTTCGTACAATTTTATCTAACACCACACTCCATTCAAAATCATTACTACCTTCACCGTTGGCTTCTAATGTTGTATCATTGGCAACAACTTCAGCGATATCTGCCTCTTGGACACCATTCTTTTGCTTCTTTGACTTATTTTTGGGAGGTGCATCGCTTCCATTTGATTCAGCTGTTATAGCGGCTTCTTCAGCGATATCTGCCTCTTGGGCATCATTCTTTTGCTTCTTTGACTTCTTTTTGGGAGGTGCATCGCTTCCATTTGATTCAGCGGTTAGAGCTTCTTCTTCAGCGATTCCTGCCTCTTGGACATCCTTCCTTTGCTTCTTTGACTTCTTTTTGGCGGGTTCATCGGTTCCGTTTGATTCAGCTGTTATTGCCGTTGCATCATCAACTTCCAGCTTCTTTGATTTCCTCTTTTTTGTTTTAACACTTTCAGCGGTGTCGCTTTCCTTTTCTTGTGGCTTGCCATTTTCTGCTTTATTCTTTTTGGATTTTTTCTTAACCGGTTCTTCGCTCACAGTTTCCTCAGCTACTTCTCGTTTTATACCATTCTGCTTAGAAGTGTCTTCTTTCTTCGCTGCTGCCGCGGCATTTTCTTGTTGCTTCGCCAATTTCATCTTTTCCAGCTCTTTTTCGAGCACATCCCAAACTTCTGCCGCCAACCGCACGGGCATACGCAGACAATTTTTTACAAAGTTTTGGAATTTTGCCTTTTTTCTCGGCACATTGTCGAAACTCTTTAAGCTTTCAAATGCCTCACGCGCCTGACCGCTTAGCTTGTAATCGTTGGAATCAAGTATAGCACGTATGATGTCCATCCAGCCTTCTTGTTTCTTAGCACCACTGTTCTTGGCTTCTTTATGTACATAATCTTTACCGGAATATTTTTGTAATTCTGAAATACATTTTGTATGTGCCACATACTCTTGTCCACGAAAATCTTTGAGGCAATCCATACATGAGACATTCTTCATGGCACCTCGGCATTTTCTATTGTAGTGTTTCTCCACAGCCGGTTTTTTTACGGATTCACCACAGTGATTGCAAGTAAAGAAGACCATTGTGATTTAACGTTTAAGTTATTATAATTTTAGTAAAAAGTAACAAAATATATAAAAGCTGCACACCGGTCCACGAATATGGTAAAAAAATGAACCCAAACAAATCACACGTGCTGAACTTAACGCGTTGCCATATCGTTCAAAATGTCATAACAGCTGTTCAAAATATTTCAACAATACTTACAGTGAAAGTCAAACTGTTGTAACAGGTTTCAAAGGTAGTGTGTTTTTCACGGTTTAACCCGAATGTGATGAAATTAAATTAAACTATTGTAAAGAACAAGTATTTTTCACATTTTTTAATTGGAGCCAATTTGTAATAAACAATACATTTAAAGCTATTAGTCCTTTTCCAACACAGTTTGTGCATATTGTATCTTGCAATATTCCAATCAGAATGTTGGACTTACGGCCAGCTGGTAGCCTTTGCCTGTTATGTGAAAAGTACCGTTGTGAAATTTTATGTTTTTAAAAATTATAAAAGGTATCGTATTGATTTAAATAGTGTTATTTTTGTGAACTGTTTATTGTTAAAAGTGAAAAATATACAAAACTGCATATATTATTTTAAGCGACTTACTTAAAATTTGGTAAGCTGTAAATTTAATATACTACCATAGAGTTTTCAAAAAGTTTTGCCAAATCTTCTTTACTTTGCTCCCGCGGTGCTAATTTCGTTATACGTTCCTGCGGCAAAGTGCCCTCAACCAAAGCTGGGATGTCATCACTATTAAATCCTAAAGCTTTCAACCCATTTTCAATACCTGCACGTTGCATAAACATCCGTACGGTATCTGCTAAAATATTTCCGGCATCTGCTAATTTTGCATTTGCATTGGTATGGTCGCCAAGTATTTGTGCCGCTTCTAAATGACGTTCTGGACATGCAGACGCGGTAAACTGAAATACAGCTGGTGCGCTGATGACAACCGATAAACCATGTGGAACAATTGCATGAGAATCGGCGTAACCTTCAGGTCGGAACTGGCGTACATTTCCCGATATGGGATAAGATAAGCCATGACAAAGATGTACCCCAGCGTTGCCGAAACCTACACCAGCCATCGTGGATGCTAGATGCATGCGAGAACGAGCTTTTAAATTGTCGGGCTGATAAATAGCGTCTATGAAATTTTCACGTATGATTTGTAGCGCATAGCGCGCCCAAACATCAGAGATAGGGTTACGGCCTTGATAGGGTGGTCGTAAGCTGGGGTCAGCGGGCGCCGGGCCACGTTCACGATAGTCAACGGCGGTGAAACTTTCAACGGCATGACAGAAAACGTCGAACCCACAAAAAGCGGTGACACGTTCGGGTTGCGTAAGAGTATGTAGCGGGTCGATTAAAGCTTTAGTGAAAATAATTAATTATAAATTAATAAGAAATGTTTGTTAAATCAAATTCGTTACACACCTAATTTAGGTTTGAGAAATTTACTTGAAATTCCCGTTTTAGCGTGCAACTTTTTATAATCGAAAATAGCTACACCGGTCGTCTCTGAACCGGTGCCCGAAGTTGTCGGTAACGCGATTAACGGTTTCAAGTTAACATTAATCTGTTAAAAAAATTAAATTAATTTATATATTTTAAGAATTTCTTTTGATATTACCTCTTTGCCTCGACCGATCGGTTTATTCACATAATCCAAAAATTCTGCATCTTTATCACAAGAATATAAATTCGCCACTTTGCAAGTATCAATTGCAGAGCCACCGCCTATTGCTACAAATGCATCAAATTGTTTTCCCCTTGCGAAGGTCGCAGCATCCCATAAACTAGCATCAGTCGGTTCAACGCGTGTTTTATCATACACTTCAAATTGTATGCCATGACGACTGAGCGAATCGAAGGCTGTGCGTACACTAGATAATTTAGCAACATTAACATCGGTAACCAAACAAACAGACTTTGCACCCCAGTTGCGCAGATCTGCACCAAGTTCGGCTGAAACACCTGGTCCAAAACGCACCGTTGATGATGACATCTGCAAGTAGAAAGTGATCGTATACTATTTAAAATTATTTCGAATCTCTACCTCAAAAGCGTATTCCATTTTGCCGGTTTGAGTGCCATCTGCCATTTGCATCACACCCGAACTGTATCCATGCGAATGCGCCGGGCAGCTACAACTAAAGAAATCTTATTTAATTACAAAATGATAATTTAATTTCAATTGCAGTATTTATTTTTGAAAATACTTACGATTTGCTAGCTATAGCGTGCATTAAATTAATCGCATTTTTTCGCGACATTTTACTCTGCCGAAATTGAAAAAGACTTGTTTAATAAATAAGCGATCAGCTGCTCAGTGATACTGATAAGACACTCAATTGACGTGCGCTCGAAGGCGTTGGGGTTGGTTCTGCGGTCTCAATTATAGCGCTCACTTATTTATACTATTAAACTTATACATATAAAAACACATACAAAAAATTGTTTGAAATCGCTTGCGAGAGTTTCTGAATACAGTTTCAGATTTACTCTTCTCAGTACATGTCTATATTGTTTAATTTTCAGCACATTATCATCATGGAGAATATGGAGCTCTCGTTTACTTTTGACGAGTTCAATTATGAGCGTGATTTCACTGCCGATAACTATGAATTTGAATGTTTATGGTTCGAGTATGCCGAAGAGATGCAACGGGTTGATGAATTCGCAGACTTTGAGCAAAACTTTGTCAAACAGTTGACAATAGTGGACACTTCCTAAAGGATAATGTTTTATGGGACCATATTACTCACTTTAAGGATTACATTAACTGCATTTTAAGGAATACATTAACAGCATGTTTTGCAGAGCAAAGGTATTTAGTTAATTTAATTAATATTTTATAGTTTATTGATTAATTTTTATATATTTTAGCAAGTGCTTACATTAATAAATAACAAAAATGTGCTTACCCTCTGCTATAAAGCACTGCAAATCACCTCGATTTTCATTTCGATCCCTTCAATATATATGGCTTCAATTTCAATATATATTTCTTATTGATTTTACCTTTGGATAAAAAATGCATCAATGTTCGCTTAAATGTGTTTTTTTTTATTTATTTTTGTAATTTAAAATGTAAATATGTCGGTATTTGTGTATTGATTATACAAATTGCAGTTAGGAAATTTAAATTATTTTATGCACGTCCTTGTAAAAAAATATTAGTGAAAATCCGTATTTATATTTTTTAACGTTGAATTAATTTTAAAACAAATATTTTACATTTTCGTTATATTGACTCAACTTTTTCGTATTTTTTAAAGTTTCTTTTTAATACTTTAAACCATATCATTAGTGCATTACACTATCAATTATTTTATTAGAAGTTTTTACAACTTCTCGTGCACAACAAGTTCGTCTTATACTGTGTATGATAACATTTTAAAAATAATTTTAATATTTTCGACTACAAAAATGACAAGTCTACAATCTTATATTTATATCTTATATCTTTTTTGCAAGATTTTCGTAACCGGAACATACATGTCTACATTTAAACGAACATCCTGCATATACATATGTATTTACTTCCCTTTTATTTGAGTTAATAAATAATTTTTATAACCGTAATTATTTCTTAGTACCATTTTCAATCTTCTAGAAGAGAAACGTGTGCGAGTAATATTAAGTGTGAAGAGAATCGTTGAAAATGTCTTTTGGGAAAATTGAGTTTTCAATTAAAAGTACATTTAATAATATAAATCTTAAAAAAAATGTATAGCCAAAAATTAGAAAGTGGTATTAAGAAAAAAATATTTTGTACCGTTTTTTCTAAATGGTATTATTGTTCGAAGAATACTCTGTATTAATTCAATTGGCAACTAGTAAATTGATACTAACACTAGGCGAACTTTTTGGGTACTTTAACCTCAAAATAAAGTCCGGGGTATCAAAAATCTATACCCATCTATGTACATATATTGATTGCAAATATATTATACAGCACAGTTTGTCTTTTGTGATCATGCTAGCTCTTTTTTAATAACTTGCTGTTTTTTTATAGTTAAATAGATTAAATTGATTTTATAAACTTTGTAACCATATTTTACTCTTTTAATAAATATTAAAAATAATTATAAAAATCTAATTTTTACTGTTATTAATTTTTTTTATTGTTTTCCGTTTCATGTTTGTAAATGTTTCATACAAGTCTTACTTTTATGGCTTTAAAAATTATTGTTATAAAGGATTTAGTTAATATCTCTACTTCATAAAAAAATTTACTACATTTTGAATAATATGAAAAATTTTCAAGGTTATTTATTCTAAAAAAATAAAAAAACAACATCAATATTAGTTTTTTTGAAAGAGTTTAAAACTCCTAAAATATGGAACATTTTTTTTTGAAAATACTAGGATATTTTTCCCCGAATGGGGTATATTAAGTTGCTGCTGTTGTTGTTGTTGTTGTTGTTGTTGTTGTTGTAAGATTACAATTGTTCCGAGTTGACACTCCTTGACCGCATAAAAATCTGGGTTCGTTTCGGTTACCTAGATCCGACTGTGGGTATATTAAGCTTGCCACGGTTTTGGTAACTCCCAGAAGAAAACGTCAGAGACTGTAAAAAGTGTACATGTACACATATAAATTATCAGGATGACGGCAAGGCAAAAATTCAATCTCCGAAAGTATAGCTGTCATACATATTGATCGATCAATAATCCAGCAACACGACAGTCGGGTGTAAGTAAACGAAACGGACCGGTTATGGTTATCTCTCCGACCTTTCTCTCTGCATGTAATCTAACGCTCTCCCCCCACTAAATCCACAGCCACCATATACACTATTTAAAGAAGTCACTGTTCCCCTAAGATTTTAGGCACCAGATAACCTGTGCTCCTTCTCTCTACATACCACCGCAATTATTGCCAAAGTACAGAGCCGCAACAAAATCCTCAAGTCGTTCTCCGGCATCATATGGAGAAAGTAACGTTCTTGGCAACAGACAAGGCAAACTGCCGGCCGGTCCTTAACTACGCCTCACCAATATGGTGGACTGGAAGTGAAACGCAGACGAGGAACGTACCGACGTGTTAGACACTGCACTCCGGACTTCAGTCGGATGCCTTTTAATGTCTCCCAACGAACACCTGCACAGTGAGACCCGTATGCTCTCAATTAA